GTGCTAAGTACTACATTGAATCCTGAAGAATGAAGTGATGTGTAGGCATTGTATTAGGATTGTATTGGGTAAGTAATCTAGATATGATTTAAAATATATGTGAGGCTGTCCACAGATTACATGCAAATACTATACTCTTTTATATAAGGGATTGAGCATCCTCAGATTTTGCAGTCTGATGGGGTCCTGGAATCAATTCCCCACAGATACAGAGGAATGACTGTATTTCAAAAGCTGTACTCTTTGGATCTCTACATGGCATCTAATAGTTGATCCCCTCAACCATAGCTGAGTTTGTAAGTTAGCTAAGCTTTAACTCCGTTAATCTTCGGGTAACAAATTAATTTTTCTTAGAATGCATTTTGTTCTTTGTCCTCTGGCTGCCATATGGGCAGTTCTGCAATCATCAACTACATTCACATTCATGAAGCCTTGAACACATTAGCGTTTCTGATATGGTTTGGATCTGTGTCCCCACCGAGTCTCATGTCAAATTGTAATCCCTAATGTTGGAGGTGGGGCCAGGAGGGACATGACTGGATCATGTAGGCAGATTTCTCACGAATGGTTTAGCACCATCCCCTTTGGTACTCTCCTCATGTTAGTGAATTCTTGTTAAATCTTGTTTAAAAGTCAGTAGCACCTCTCCTTTCTCTCTGTCTTGCTCCTGCTCCCACCATGTTCGCACACTGCCTTCCACCATGAATTTAAGCTCCCTGAGGCCTCCCCAGAAGCATATGCTCCCATGCTTCCTGTAGAGCAGAACCATGAGCCAATTCAACCTCTTTTCTTATCAATAACCCAGTGTCAAGTATTTGGTATAGCCATGTAAGAACAGCCTAATACAGTTTCTATTTGTGAAGTACTCTTGGTCTGGCGCCACATTGAGGTAGCTACTGTCTCCTCTGCCTTCCACTCCCAGCTCTTTACACTTCTGTAAAATTCTGACTATATTACTCACCATTGATTGTAGTTAGCATAGCTACTATCTATCCACGTTCCTCCCCCAACCAAGTGGACAGTTCATTCATCTAGTCAATCAAAATTTATTAAGAGGTCAAACCAGGCACTGTGTTAAGCAACATGGGTCCCAATACATGTCAAAATAACTAGTTCTTCATGTAATTGGCTATTCAAGTATTTTTCCCGTTCATGTTAGCTATTTTAAGAACTATTTTTGTATTTAAACTATGAATCTTTTTCTATATATTACAAATAGTTTTTTCAATGTTGTGGTTTCTTGTCATTGTACATATGGAACAGATTTTCCTTTTAATGTTTGTTCATTTAAACTTTTCTCTTCTTTCCTTTTTCACAAGCTAACTGGTATTAGAGAGGAGATAGAATGGGTAAGAAGAAAGACGACTGGCAGAGTCCACAGAGGAACCCGATAGTGGCCTCTCTAAAATAGTAAAGAGAAATGTGTACACTCTCTTTGGCACACATCTGTGAGCCATTCCTGAGACAGCATCGACAGGTGCTATCAGGAAAGTAAAGGTAACAGAGGAGTTAGTGATGACTTCCATAATACTTGGCACATAACTGGAGATTATTATACATATGTTGAAATAAGTGACTGATTAGATGGTCACTAATGTGGACAATTTTCTTTCCAGCAAACCCCAGTAATCACTGAGGACCTTTGTTATTCATAAGGGAGAGAGATTGTAGTTGATTGCAATGATCACTCTGATTCTCCACTTGATTTCCTTTTACATAACTTTGCAGTAACCTCCTGATATGGGGTCTGGCTCTGTGTCCCCACCCAAATCTCATCTTGAATTGTAATCCAAATTGTAATCCCCATGTGTTGGGGGAGGGACCTCACGGGAGGTGATTGGATCATGGGGGCATTTTCCCCCATGCTGTTTTCAAAATAGTGAATGAGTTATCAGGAGATCTGCTGATTTTGCAAGGCAGTTTTCCCTGCTCTTAGTAAACTCCCACTGAGTATTGAATTTTAAAGTCAAAGTAGTTTCAAAAAAGTAAGTTGTTTTAATGAAATTAATTCACATGTCATTATGTGTGACTATACAGGCAAGCTTGATATGATTATCCCAGAGGATATTCTGGTCCCTGTGTAATACTATTGGAAGTGAAAAGAGAATATTTATTTCCAGGATTTATAGCACAGAATAAAGACACAAACTTTAAGTATGTATTGTGCTTCAATAGAGTTGCCTACAGCCTGTAAAATCCAATTAATAAACACAATAGACACATTCACTTTTTTATTTTTAAGCAAAGTTACTGAATTTGTTCTATTTGCTATTTTGTATTTCTGATTACAAGATGCTGTCCCCTGCTGTTTGCTAAAGATTACACCGGCTATAGTCATGAACATACAGTGAAATAAGATAACAGTTTTGTTTAATGACTCACGTCTACAAATCAGAGAAGAACAAAAGAGAAATTTGCATATCCATGGAACAAATCTAGCATGCTAGCACTGTGCCTCCTCTTCTCCCAAGCCATGTCATTTCAATAAGCGTTTTGTCCTCTCCATGCTTTTGGTAACTAGATGGGCTAATGGGGAGGGTGATGGTGTAATATTATTTCTTCTAAAAGAGCTTTTATAAAAATTTTTACTTGAACACATACTCTGTCATTGTTAATAGTACCTGGCAACCTCTACTGCATAAATATCTATAATTATGGTTTTTTCAGCAACAATTTGGTTTGCATGCATACTTTCATGACAGTTAGCTTGTTTACTACTTATTCCAATCCTCTTGGAGTAAGGTCATTCAGTGACAAATGTGGTATTGCCATCTTCTGAAAGGGTTACAAATTCATACCTGGCTTTCAGGGCAGAAAATGACAGCCTGCATGCTGGTAACTGACATACAGGTGTTCCCCATGTTACCAAAACCTAGATGTTATCGCAAAACTGGAAGAACTGGCATTGAGTAGATCTGGGTTCAAATTTTGGCTGTGTCATTTACCAAGTTTGTGACTTTAAGCTTCATTTTTTCCATCTTCAAAATCTCTCAGGGTGTTGTTTTGAGTATTAAATAAGGTGATACATATATGAGAAGTGTAACAGAAACCACGCCGTATGGATTGTCAATAATGACTGGTTCAATCTAAATCTACAAATGAAAGCCACGTGACAAATTCAGGGTCATATCGTGTGAATGAGTCGATGATGTAAGTAAAGATACTGTAGCTGCTGAAGGGGAAGGTTAACAGGAGAGGGAAGCTGTTCTGTTTTCCCTTTTGGCCAAATAGCACTTATCTGTCCTTACTGCTTTGCCTAATAGATTAATTCATTCTGATAGTATTAAAGATTCTGGTAGATAGCTAATAATTAGCTCTGAAAAAAACAAATCATTGGCTTTCCTTTGCTGTCAAAATCCCTAAAAAGAAAATTTTCATTTCAAATGGCTTCTAGCTTACTTCAGAATCGGAGGATAGACTCCTTTGAAGCTATCTAGTACCGCTAGTGAATGTACTTTTTAATCGTTTATTAGTGGATAAACTATAAATGGCATATAAGGGTAAAAGCTTCAAAACACAAATTAAAGTCAACTGCTCACTAGTGTTTTGAATCAATCAATATAGCATTCATTTAAAAATAGAAGCAACGCCACTAACCCTCAAAAAATTCACATTTTGATGTAATTCATAACATCAAAGCTCTCTAAAAAGATGGAGAAATTACAATAAATCACAATCCATGTGCAAGGAAAAGTCTTTCCCCTTGCATGTACTGACATCTGAGATGCACGTTACAGTATGCTCTTAGTACGCAAAGGACATTACAGATGTAATTTTTTTTTAACTCTAAGCAAGGAAATACCATGTACTATAATGGGAACAGAAAAGAAAAAAATAGCATTTTGTATAAACTTGGATATGCCTCTGACGTTCTCTTAATAAATCTTTTCTCATTTCTGTTTGAGGCTACCTTCCATTATAATTTACTCACTTTCTTTAAAACTGTTTTTAAACCAAGTACATATTCTGTTCTCTCAAAAATAAAGAAAACCAGCACAAAGATCATTACTTAGGGCACACAAAACAGAGGAACATTTATTTAATCTATTCCATATATAAAGAGTATTGTTTAAATTATCATTCCTAATTTCATTTATTCATATCTCAATGTTACCTACATAAATGACAAAAAGTGAATGTCCATAGGTTACTGAAGGGGCCTTATGAAAATTATACATTGGAGAAAGAAACCAATATAAATATAATATTAATAGCATTATTTTGTTGGCCCAGTCCTTCTAAGGAGACCCAGTGAATTCGAAATGTGCCAACTATTTCTCTAATACGAGTTGATGGAAAAGTCCACATCCTCGAGCAGGGGATGTTGGAATTGAGTTGTCAAGCTGTCCTGGATGTCTTGTACAAACTGAACAGGCCAATTTACTGCAACACTGCATAGGCTGAAGGCTACTATCTCGCCTTTACAGTTGCTTCCTCCTGGTGAGATTATCCTGCCCGACCACAGCCTCCCTCTCCAGTAGCTTTTAAGTTACTCTGGATTCTTTCTGATGAGCCTGAGCCTATTCTTTTCTTTTCTTTCTTTTTTTTTTTTTAAATTATTTATTTATTTGAGACAGAGTCTTGCTCTTGTCGCCCAGGCTGGAGTGCAATGGCCCGATCTCGGCTCACTGCAACCTCTGCCTCCCGGGTTCAAGCAATTCTGCCTCAGTCTCCCGAGTAGCTGGGATTGCAGATGCGCGCCATCACTCCTGGCTAATTTTTGTATTTTTAGTAGAGACGGGGTTTCACAATGTTGGGCAGGTTGGTCTCGATCTCCTGACCTCGTGATCCTCCCGCCTCGGCCTCCCAAAGTGCTGTGATTACAGGCGTGCGCCACCGCGCCCAGCTAAGCAATAGTACTGTGTTAATCCACAGCTTGGGACCAGTGTGCTTGACTAGGAGAGGCTCTTACCCTGCAACCTGAAAGCAACAGCTTTGTGTGTTTGGTGATAATTTTGAATCTTAGTGGTGATTTGATTTTAATGTCTTCCTCTTTGTAGCTCAAAACTCCTGGATTTCTGGATGAAAACAGGCAAGCTTTTCGAAAAAACTGACTTCTCCCACACAGCCTGAATTTCTTTTGCCTATTACTAACCTCCCAGTGCGGGGGTTGCTTTTAGACTCAGCTGTTCCGGCTCTGCCCTCCAGGTGGCAGCAGTGCCACATCTCAGAAGCTCCAATCCCCTCTTCCCTGACTTCAAGTGTTAATGCAATTGACCAATCAGTGCTAAGATGATGGGAGGTAATTGGGTAATTGTATTTTACTGATCACAAGCGGAGAAAGGGAAAGGAAAAGGGGAAAGAAAGAGGGGCAGAGGAGGGAAAGCGACTGCAGTCCGAAAGGAGCTTTTGGAAGCTAGGACCCTAAGCGTCAGGACGTGGCATTGGTCGAGAGAAAGCCTAGGCTGGCAAGAGCTGCCGCCGGCGCTGGGAGAGCATTTATTTGGGAGAAAAAGAGAGGCGAGAGCAGAGGGAGGGGGAGGAAGAGAGTTCAAACCGAAGTGGATGGAAGGGGACTGGGGTTTCTGCCGCGCAGGGAGCCGTGAGCCAGGGCGATGGCGCTAAGGACGGCGCGGAGCAGCTGCGCTCCCGAAAACGCGTCTCCTCGCAGAGGACTAGCAGGCGTCGGGAAGGTCTGCGCCAACGGGAACCAACTTGTGGCTCCAAAATGTACCCAACGCAGCTGGAAATGAGATCAAAGCTGCAGTTGCATTTGAGAAGGATGAGAAGAACCAGCGATTAGGATTTTTTTTTTTCTTACCCGTGTTGTTCCTTTTTCTTTTTTTCTTCTTTTTCTTTTCTTTCTTTTTTCGTGTTTGTTTTTTTAATTTGCCTACCACCCCGTCTGTCCCCTCACTTCATCCTCCCCATTTGAAATAAAAGCCCCAGTCTCAACTTACATCACCGCCGCGCCCCCGGAGCCACTGCCGGCTGATGGAGGAGAAGGGGACCCGGGGGCTGGCAGGGGCCACCGGCGAGGGACCGCATCCTGCGTCTCCCCCGTGATCCCGGCCCCGACCGCGGAGTTCTGCAACACCTGGAGGATCTGGACCGGGTGCTGGGGGTGGGGGTGGGGACAGAGGAAGGAAAAGGCACCCCGAGCCTTATAAAAAAAAAAAAAAAAAAAGTAGCGGGGGGAGGAATGGGTTTCTTCTTGACAGCTGACGGAGCCTTGAAATTTTCCTCCACTACCTCCGCCCCCGCCCCCGCCCCCGCCCCCCGCACTCCATTTAACGTGAGATTATGAAATTGCAGAGGCGGTGGAGGGAAGGAGACAGGATATAACCTGAGTTTGGAGGGGAGAGGGGAAGGTGGCTGGCCGGGTGGCTGAAATCAAAAATTCAATTGCGCACTGGGTTGTGATGAGAAATCTAATCAGATCTTTGGCGAAGGGGCCGGCCGGAAGGATGGCGAGTGGGGGGGAAGTTGCTCCCCAAATTCTTCGAAGTCCCCGGGAGGCTGGGGAGAGGAATTGACGATGTAAAAGGAGACTTTTTTTTTTTTTTTTTTTTTTTTTTTTTTGGTGGTGGTGGTGGCTGTTGGGTGCCTTGCAAAAATGAAGGATGCGGGACACAGCTCTCTCCTGGAACCGAACGCAATGGATAAACTGATTGTGCAAGAAAGAAGGAAGAATGAAGCTTTTTCTTGTGAGCCCTGGATCTTAACACAAATGTGTATATGTGCACACAGGGAGCATTCAAGAATGAAATAAACCAGGGTTAGACCCGCGGGGATTGGTGTGTTCTGACATAAATAAATAATCTTAAAGCAGCTGTTCCCCTCCCCCCCAAAAAAGGATGATTGGAAATGGAGAACCGAGGATTCACAAAGAAAAAAGTATGTTCATTTTTCTCTATAAAGGAGAAAGTGAGCCAAGGAGATAATTTTGGAATGAAAAGTTTGGGGCTTTTTTAGCAAAGTAAAGAACTGGTGTGGTGGTGTTTTCTTTTCTTTTTGAATTTCCCACAAGAGGAGAGGAAATTAATAATACATCTGCAAAGAAATTTCAGAGAAGAAAAGTTGACCGCGGCAGAATGAGGCATTGATTGGGGGAGAGAAACCAGCAGAGCACAGTTGGATTTGTGCCTATGTTGACTAAAATTGACGGATAATTGCAGTTGGATTTTTCTTCATCAACTTCCTTTTTTAAATTTTTATTCTTTTTGGTATCAAGATCATGCGTTTTCTCTTGTTCTTAACTGCCTGGATTTCCATCTGGATGTTGCTGTGATCAGTCTGAAATACAGTGAGTGACCTTTATTTTCTTATTTATTGGTGAAGAAAATGTCAGTTAATTTGGTGTTCTTGGTCTCTTTATCCTCTCTCTCCCTTTGGTGTTTTTTTAAAGAACTGGCTATTGGGGGCCAGAAAATAAGGGAATGGGTGGCCCACGTATTTGCTTCATCAGTCTCTGCTCTCTGATAAGACAGTTTGCTATAAGGGTGCAGGTTGACTGCATCCTGGGCAGACGCCTTTGCAAATGTTCACCAGGAAAAAAAAAAAAATCTCCCCAAGAAAGCCGCTGCAGTGTGGGGTGCCAGTGCTGTGTGACTGACACTCTAGAATGCGTTTAAGTTGCTTGTCAGCCACGGAGTTAGATGCACAAATGTTTGGCTATTGGAAATCGAAGGGACTCAATTTAAATTTCATTATCCGACCTGACATTGCAGATCAACAGAATGTATTAACACAAAAATATGACAATAAACCAAGCAGATGAAGGGTGGCTTCTTGCTGGTGTATGGGTGGAGGGAGAAAGGGTGGGTTTTGGGGGGAGGAAGCTGGTGGAGAGAAGTGGTTGTACTTTCCACAATCACTCTTGCATACACATGTCCAGATGTGCTCTTCACATTACCCGGGTTCATGCCAGTGCTAAAAATGAAACAAGGAGGACCTACTTCTCTCCAACTCCACCCCCTTCTCACTGAGGACTTCTCTGGATTACAGAGAGACTGTGCATGGACTGTAGAGCAGTGACTTGGGTTTTGCCAGAAACCTTTCCAATATCACCAGTTCACAGCTCCTCAGAGAAAGGAAGAAATCTAGTGTCCTGTGGTAACTTAGAAAAGGCAGCTGAAGAAGAGGTCTATGTTGAGCATTCATGCTTCTCATGTGCCAGCTTTGTCTTGGAAAAAGAGGCCGATATAAAAAAATAAAGCAGAAGGTGGAAAATGCTTAGAAAGTCTGAGCTGAGCGCCTGTAGGATCACCTTCCCTCCTCTCCCATTGCTGCCAAAGTCATGGAGCTGGCCTTTTTTACAGAACTTTCCCCCTTCACTCTTCTCTATTCCTCTCTGGGGCCTTCCATCAGAATCATAGACTCATGTAACTTTTGAGCCAGAAGAGTCTCCAGAGATCTCATGTCAATAAAAAAAGGAAACTGAGGCCTAGAGAAGCTATAACTCTTTCATTAATGGCCAAACAGCATGAGACAGGTGACTCACACAAGCCTCAGAACGCCAGGCAAAAAAAAAAAAAAAAAAAGTCAATTTGGGATCCAAACTGGACAGCTACACATAGCCTGGCTACTCCTGTATTTTGAATGCTGTTTTATGAGTAAGGGTCAAAGGAAGGCACATTGGTCCTGAGAGCAATAAAACTTCTGCCAGTTTAGACTTCAAGGGTTACAAACTCCAACATTCATTGTCTCTCTTCCCTTCCTCCCTTCTTCCCTCTCTCCCTCTTCCTTTCTTCTTTTCCTTTCTATAGCATAGTTTAGATAACCCTGGCTTGAATACCATTTAAAAAAAAATGAGATCCACTACTCTGACATATCCCAAAGGAGATGAAAGGCAGCATTCTCCTGGGTCCTTTCTTAGTGTTTAATCCTGTGAGTGGTGGTCCTCAGAGAGTCATTAAAGAACTGTAGGGTTAGATTTATATTAGAGAGGTGATAATAGAAACCAGAAACACGCAGCTGAAAGCTTCTGAGCCTGTTCTTACACTCACATCATCTATTCTTATCCTTTTCATTACTCCTTAACTAAACTAGCCTACAGCTGAGCACTTCTCTAATTTATTTTTCTGGGCACATGTTTCCTGTTGGAACACAGATCAGGCAATAAATTTACCAACCTATAAAAATAATTGTGCAAGATGGTTTTATTCCCTGAAATCCCCATAGACTTGTGCATATATTTTCATAGTTCTCTGCACTTTTTTTGTATTTGTTTGCTTGTTTGCTTTGTTTTACATTACCACAGTGAAGTCACCATTTGTAGACATGGAATGACTCAAGTTATATTAAGTTCCTGCTCATCTGGAACTTAGCACAATGACAAAAAAAAAAGTAAGAAGAAAAACATGTACTTTGATGCTTTTTCACTTTATAGTTCAGTTCCTGGCTTCACATGGGAACCCAGCCTTGAAATTAGGTTGGGTCTGCTAATTGGAGGAGATTTTATTTTCTTTATGTAAATATATATATAAATATATATAAATATATAGATAAATATATATAAATATACATATATATTTATCTTTCGTTGACATCAAAATTTCTTAAGTGCTGCTCTAATTAGATCTGAAAGCACATTCCTCTCCTTGATAGTGTCACCTCCTCCCTGTACCCTCCACACTTAATGTACACATGCAATTGTCCTAAGAGAGAGAAAGGGAGAGAAGTGAAGAGACAGAGAATCTGTTCAAAATTTTGGTCTGAAATGTGTCCCCCCATCCCCCTCCACTTAAACATTTTCAAATCTGGAGTTAATGGGGCATCTAAGGTGTCATCATCTTTCATACTGGTAAATCATTTCAGAACTCTACTGTTAGGAACCTATGGCCCACCTGGGGGTTAACACCTTTGGTTTAGTAGTCAGAGTTGGCCCTGCATTTTGGTTAAGTACTGATTTGTTTTAAACTAATTTGTTCAGAAGCACTGCATTTGTTCATGTACTGTTCAAAGAATGAGGGCCATGACAGAGCTGGAAACTTACTTCATCAGTGGGTCTCAGGACCCAAGTTGGTGCCCACTGAAAGACATTTGTGAGTAAGCAGTTGTCTACCAGAATCTGCCGAGGACCCTATGCCCAGAAAGCTACTGGGTTTTACGAGTTTTAAAGTTCCCTTTTCAAATATCTTCTTCCTCAAATGTAATAGCTGTGCCCTTTGAGCAATACTTTTAATTTCCCTGGCTCTCAATTGTCTAGTCTGTGAGGTGGGAATTATAATATGTAATTCGTTGAATTGTTTTATGACTTAAAAGGAGTGTTGTGCAAAGATGCAAGCATAATAGGCCCTCTAAGGATGGCTGTTTGTTATGGTTATTCTCGGATTAACGTGGATTAATTTCCTGACAGTGAATTACAGTCTGGCTAAGCACTTTAACAGTTTGAGCACCTATACTTGAAAAATAGGGATTGTGCAACTCATGTTACAGTAGTTGCCAGGATCCTCATTTGAGGTCTTATCAGGACAGATTGGCTCAATATATTATTTTAGATGTAAAGTGCTGCCTCATACTAGAAACTGTACATTATGACTTTCTCCTAAAAGTATAGAAAAATAAATCTCAGCAAAAACAGTACTTAAATGAAATTTTACAGGGAAATAATGCAATTAATGTGCTGTGTATGTTTTTGGTCTAAAAGTTGAATAAGAGATTTCTGGTATTTTAAGTGTGTCATTTTAGCCACATATTACATAGTCTGGACCTGGATGTACAAAATAAAGGCAAATGTCTATGTAGTTATATGATTTAAATTATATGGTATAAAATTCCATTATTAATATTAAGGCCTCCAAAACCACAATTTGGTTTCACAGTTCTAGTCAAAATGAGTGCTGTGTTCATTAAACAAAGTATTTACTTTGTGATGGGCTAAAGACTCGTTAGAATATATAGAATGAGGAAGATTTAATGCAGACACACACATCATTGTTTACATGTGCACATCTTCCCACACCAGTGGTTTTCTGAGGCAGGCAGTCATGGTCATTGCTCATAATTTCATTCTCTACAGTAGCAGCCCTGTTTTCTGTCCATTTCCTTAATATTCTTCCAGGGACTTGTTTTCCCCTTAAGAGAAAAGGAGTCCTACTGTAGTAATTGTTATTCTTAATGTTTCATCTGTGGATGATAATAGTACAGTTAGGCTTGGGAGATACCCATTGGATTCTTATGTTTCTTTTCAATGAAAACAGTTTGAAATCTGTGTGAATATTGGAAAAGCATTTGAAAGTTGACCATTTGCACTGACCTTAAGAAAAGATGGAAATTCTCTATGAAAGTTCTTACCATTTGATAAATTTTACTTTTTTGCATGCTTCCTAACGATGAGTTAGAAATTAGGTGAAACTTGGACTCTAGCATCTTAAGTGAATTCAAATACTCAGCTTCCCACTGAGCCATGTGTGTTACATGCATCATTTAACCTCTCTGAGCCTGTTTGCTTATCTGTAAAATAGAGGTAATAACAACTGCCTGGAACTGTCTGCCGTGAGGATGAGATCAGATTGCATATGCCATGCACAGCAAGCATTCAATAAATGCACCTTTAAATGGATCATCTCTGATTTTAGTTTGGATTTGCAGAAAAAGAGATATGGACTCTGTTGGAGAAAAGCTGTCACTGTAAGTTCACATTGGCATAGATTAAGAAAGAGAAGTATATTGACAGGATTAAGGTTGGAGTAACACATAAATAGATATGACCATTTTTGGTAAGGTCCTGCCGTTTTAAAAACATATTTAGAAGTGCCTTAGTGAACACCATTTCCTCAGTAAATATTGAAATATACTTTGTGAATTGTGGAAAATATACTCTGTGTCCATATAAACTTCGGTTAGAATGTCAAGTACTTTATAATACAGGCATAAAAACGTTAATGATCTGTAAATGGTATCACAGAAGATCCCCTAAGAAGGTCAAGAATCAGTTACATCTTTCATTTTCTCAAAATAATTTTTGTGGAGAAATGTTAATTTGACCATTGAAATTTAATTAGGCTGGTCTTGTGCCAGAGACACTGCGCTTATAATACTTTCTGAATGCAAGGGTTTTGTTATGTCCTCAGCCCCTCAGAAGAACAGCTGGCAAAGAGTATGCATGCAGTAAATACTGCTCAAATGAACTTAGTTTAAGAAACACCTCCTCTAAATAATTCAAATGCATGCACATACAAGAATGTATGCAAACACACGCAGGCACGCACATACATACTGGAAGCCTGGTTTGGGGGAATTTATAGAAGCTTAACAACAAAAGCTAATGAGTATATTGACTGAATACACACACACACACAC